TTTTCATATTAATTTGTTGTACTTTAATATATATATATATATATATATATATATATATATATATATATATATATATATATATATATATGACAAAATGATAATACTTACTTCCAACAAATTTTGGAGACAAAACATTATTGTCCATGATGACTTCTCTAGTTGAAAATACTGACTGAATTGGAGTTTGTTTATCTGAGTCCAATGAATTTGAACAAATAACAGTTAATTTAAAGAAAATATATGACCATGTAATAAAAACACATACAGTTTGTTATGATCTATATATCCATAATTTAAAAAAAATATTTCATCTATGGAATTATGAAGTAAATAACGATTATTGATAACTTACGTTGGTACGTATTTGCAGGAGACCTAGTGTTATGAAGGTAATCATGTGGCCATGGGCTTGCATCCCTTTTAATAATTGTTTCTATTGATAGATCTGAAACTATAGATAAAAAATAAATCGAAAATACACCTGAAAAATATTTACATTTACAACACGAATATGTAGCTTACCAATAGGTACATCGTATAATATAGATTTTTCAGGTGAAGAAGGCTTCTTTCGTTTATTATCCATATGTAAATACTATGCACATAAACCTGCAAAACTTAAGCTACACAGTTAGATGTGTGTATGCATGTTTCCATTAAATATAATTAAAAGTAATCAATATTTGTAGCATTCAAAAATATTTCTTCATAGTTAAATGTTTATGATTTAAAATCTAAAAAAAAACATATTTTAGTGATTTTTGAAAATACTCAATATCTTCAAGTTCAAATGGAATGTTTTGTTTTGTTCCACCCGATAGGTGATTCAATGAACCTATCGACAAAAGCGAACCAATAACATCTGCAATTAATATTACACAATTGTAAGAATACATCCAGTAAATAAATGCTAAATATTAAGAAAAACATCAATAGAAAAATTTAATACCTATCGTATACTCATTGTTGTTTGACGCTTGTTGTATATCTGCGTAAGGTGTGAACTTAAATGAATATATTGGAATGGACGGAACGTCAACTTCTCTCACAGTAGATGTATATTCAAAAGTGACTCTATAGTCATTCAAGGCATGCTTGTAGGTCTTGACACTAAAAAAAGCAGTTAGGTTTGACATTACATAACATCTGTTCACTTTGATCTTAGACTCAAATCTGTATAACAGTGTATACTTAATGGAAGCTTGCACTGTATCACCCTGCGTAATGAAAAAACAAATGTGAAAAATATAATTTCCTAACAATCATATTTGACGTATTAAAATAAAATAATCACCTGTTCATCAATGAATATCATCTCCATGTCTTGAAGATCTTTCTTAAAATAATTTGGCTGTTTCCAAATGTGCAAAACACGGATTTTGAGATTCCATGACTTTTTTTCACCTCCCAAGTTTCTAATGAGATCTACTTGCCTTGACATCATTATGTGTTTAATACACGTAATCAAAAATTTGTTAGTGAATTAAATCAAACAATAAAAGATGAATATACGATAACAACTCTTGAATTATATATATTTATGCATATGCATAATATATAATCTATATGATAAAGTTACATTAATTCATATGCTCGGGTATCGTGAAAGAAAAAAATTAAAAAAAAAAGGTAAAAGATTATTCTAAAATAATATTATACTCACGATTCACAAAAAGAGAACGATGGTCGGCTGATGAAGTATCGAGAGAACAATATTATCCTGCAATTTAGAATAACAATGAAATGATCCGTGTATATATAATATGATGCACTACACCAAAATGAAGAATTCCTAACGGCACTAATTTCTGATTTCTAACGGATAATATCCGTTAGAAGTTTGCAACGGTCAATATCCGTTAGAAATATTACTTTTCCCTTACTATAATTGAGAAATTAATTTTACTATATTCATTAGTGTTGGGAAAAAATTTCTAACGGATTTTATATGTTAGTAATAAACAATCGAAATTGTAAACATATATGTATTTAACTCTAATATTTGTTTCATTTCCACCCATTCACCTACGGCATTCAGCGGCGCCTTGTGTACTTCCATCGTCAATGTGAAAAGGAGTTAACCGTCGCCTCAACCCCGACCATCGCCGGCCTTCCTTTCTTGTGTGCCCCACCACCAAGCCATTTCATCAAATTTAGGTAATCTCCCTCTTACTACTCTCTGTACCTCGTTTTTCCTCTCCTACTATTGATTCACATGTTAGGGTTTTTGTTTTTGTTTAAATGCCCAAAATTGGATTTGTTCTTCAAAATTTGAGTAAGGAATTGTATGATTTTCTATTAGAACTTTAATTTTTGTTTATTTTTTTATAATTGTGCTTGTTGAGTGCGGAATTGAGATTATTGGCATACATGAATGACATTGACTTCCTTGGTGACTTGCGTACATAGTGATGTATGGGTTTTCTATTTGGTGTGATAATGCAAATCAATTTTATCTCAAAAATTTGTTGTAAATTTTATGTTTGTAGTCTTCCGTTCGTAATTAATGAATTACTCTTTCTATCAATAAGAAAGTCATGGAATTGATTATTTATTTGAATTATGCAAATGGTTCATTGTGAAATAGAATTGTTGATTTGTATTGGGTTAGAATTGCAGCTCCTTTCAATATCAGATTGTTTCTGGTCTTTTTCAAAAGGAGTTGTACGGAACTGATATTTTGCATCGAAATAGAGAGAAATTTAATGACGGAATGTCTTGTATGTGCTCTTAATAAATAAGTAATGTGGAACTTCAAAGTTGCACTTCTATTATACACTACCAATTATAAATTATCCTCCTTTTCTTTTGCAGGGAAGAAGTTGTATCCTCGTATTATCAAGAACTTTATGATGCAGCCTAGGTATGCCATTATCTATGATATAAGGGTCTCCATGTGATTGATTTTAAACAAATAGCTTCACTAGCAATTCAGAGTTGGAATCTAGTGATAAATCTTTTATTTTTTTATTACAATCTAATGATTAGCTAGTCTTCTTCATAAAGGGCTTCAAGTTTGTTTTTATGTATGTGAACCTGCAGGCATGTGGTATGGCGTTCTTAAAGTTCGAGTTCTTTAATGATTCGTGTAAAAGAGCATATCCAGTAGATTTGGATCCATTCTTCACCACACGATAAGGCGTTCAACATTATCTTACAATATTAGGTAATTGCATTATTTTTCTCATAATTTTTAACATGAGCAGATATTTTCCCCTTCTTACTAAAGAAAACATGTGCTTCATATAAGTTTGGCTATTTTTGTTCTATATCAAGAATATTTCTATCTTCGATCCTCTGTAGACTACCACATTAAATTTTAATGGAATAAAATTTATTTTTTTGTTGATTATTGAGCATGAAGGGGTTTTTATTTTTTTATTTTTTTCGTAACTTCCTTTAGCTAAGTTATGCAGCTCATATTGCTCAAATACCTGAACTGGGGGCAATCTGTTGATGGTGATATTGAGAGTTTGGTAGATAGTAAATCTATGATATTCAACCTTGTTCACGGGATACGTGACTTGGCTTGGGAGTTGGTTAATAGTATTCGTGTTTATATATTCTCTGTTTAATTAAGGTTTACATGAGTCATAGAAAGTCTTATAGTTAATGTACATGAATGATAGAGAGTATAGTGTAATGGTGAATTGAAATCGAATTTTTTGTATACTTCTAGTTCAAATTTTATGTAAATGATGCAAAACTCATGTAATGAGTTTGCTATTTGATGGAATACTTTATATTATATTATTTTTTAATGCATGTGAACCTATATATATATATATATATATATATATATATATATATATATATATATATATATATATATATATATATATGTAACGACTATAAACTGTTAGAAAATAACATTTTTGGTGTAGTGATAATATTTAATAATTCCTAAATCATAGTAAATGAAATACAATTATGGAAGTAAAATTATAATTCCTAAATTTTAGTTCCGTAATTATAATAAATAAAATACAATTATATTTAATAGTACCGAAATTAGAGTAAATTATAGTTAATAAATATTCATATTCCATATAATTAACTAAAATTACGGAATTTCCTATAAATAAAATGCATAAATTACGATTAGACATTTATTTATATGCGTAATCTATATTAAATTTAGATCACTTACATAAATATAAAAGATTACATCTTCATCAAAAAAGCATGTTTCTATTGTTACGGATATATATATATATATATATATATATATATATAATATATATATATATATATATATATATATATATATATATATATATTGTGTATACGGATTCTATTATTCTATTATTTCGTAAATCATAATAGTAAATGGAATATAATTAATTAATAGTTCTATAATTATAGTTAATAACTATTCATATTACATGTAATGAATTATCTATAAGCAATTCCTATAAATAAGTTGCATAATTTTCCTCCTGACATATTTATATGCCTAT